CTCGGAGATTGGCAAAGGGAAATCGACGAAGGAACGCCGATTCGGGTCGATGGTGCAATGAAACTCGAAATACAGGCCTCCGAGGCCCACTAAAACGGGGAGAGGCTGTTCGCAGAGTCCGCTCCATTCTTCAACCATCGTAAATATGTGTCTCCCAGATCGCTGCGAAAATCGGTGTGCTGACACTTTCAAACGAGATGCAGGAGTCTCCTTCCACAGAAATACAGGATGAGTCATGTTTCTTGTTCACCTTTCGGTTGTTAATAACTCGTGACAGAATAATCTCATTTCTATCCAGTTTAGGCCATTTGGAAATTCAGAAATTTCCCTATTAGGTACACTCTAATTTTTTTTTTGTTAACAGGGGCAATACTTCAACTTAACGAACAAAAAGATATCAACCTTCCAATCGATGCTCGTCGAGTCGAACCAGACGATGAACACGCCGGATAGGAGATTCTGTTGCTCGCGGAATCTCGTGTCTGGGAATCTCATTCATCGTATGATGGATTGCGGCCTTCAATTCTTCCATATTGCGCATCTTGTAAGGGTAGACGAGATCCTTGAGGCAATCCCACGGACAAAAATTAGGCCGCGTGAGATCAGGGCTCCGAGGTCCTTTTCCATCGAAACCTCGATAGGAGGTTTTCCATCGATCCTCGACGCTCAATCCATCGATATTTTTGTTCAACCATTCACGCACCCGACGAGAGAAATGACGTAGATCGTTTCGATGTCGTTGCGGGCAGCAATCGCTGGCCGCATTTGGTTTTCTAATATCCTGAGATACCGGCCGCCATCCACGTCGAAGATGAACCACGAATTCGTCTCCAATTACTCCCGCCAGTACCAGGAGATCAGATTTGAAAGGACAGTCGACGGTCGCGTGCGGGTTGACATCGATCCAAATGATGGAATTGCGACGATTGACGTGATCGTTCAGACGATCATTCCCACATCCATCCGGTTTCCGGTGCGTTCTGACCAAATTTGGAGTAAAGCCGAACAATTGCGACAACCTTATCAATAGCAATCGTTTCTCATTTCCCCCTTTTTTCCAAATAATTTCCCTCAAATTTCCTTGAAGAGGAACCGATCGCAGCAGCGGCACAATTACTCTGACACTCGAACCGACAGTAAGACACGTTGCCGCAAGCGTATTTTCAAATGCCAGCACCTATCTGTAACCCCCAGAATTAGAATTCTATTTCCGAAGGATGCAATCGACAAAATAAAGCGAAAATTTTCCTTCGATAGTCTTGTCTTTCGAATGTTGTAAACCGGATCCCGGTCAATTGTTGCGTTGAGCAGTTATTAATGTTCAAAAGGTGGGCAGATCTTTCGACTCATGCTGTACAGGGGGAGGCAGAAGTTGATCCCAAGTATAATTAACATATAATTAGTACTATCTCGTTTCATGCTTGATGGCATTAAATTAAATTACATTATCACCTAGTTGGTCAAAATATATTCAAACTGTAGTCTCTCCTAATCGCACATATTTTTAAGCAGAAAATGATTAGCTCAATGATGACACGTGTGCATTGTGGCGACTAACTTGTCTCGCTCTGTTCGTGCTCAGACTTTTCCCATTGCAAATTCGGAATTCCCTCACGTGTTGACGGCGGTTGGTTGGGGGAGAGAGTGAAGATTCCTCCCTCTCTCGATCCGTGTCGTGCAAAAATTATCGATAATTTTTATTGTGGATGAGATTTAGAATGTGATTATTAGCGGAAATGAAAATGAAGTCGATAGTGAAGGCAGTCCCACTAAGTTGGAAATAGTCGTCCGGCAATAAAAAGTGAGCGCAGTCCTTTAAGCCTCGATGATGCTTTGGACATAATTCGCTTGGTCCGTCGAGACGGAATCACATCGTCTCCTCCCGTGACGTGAAAAGGTTCGCATTTATTGTAGATGGAACCCTCTGGAATAGAGTATGGTCTCGTCTTTCCGTCAGGAAAACAAAAAAAAGACTGGGGAGAGGAGTCTGGAGTTCATGCATTGCCCCAACTTCCAAACAGTAGCAATCATCTTTTATTGAAGAACTTCGAACCACTTTTCATCTATTATGGAACCTTGTGAGCGATCCTTCATTGAAAAAGACAGAAAAGCTGTACGATAACCCTGATTGAGGGCTTGCGTGCAGGTATTCGACGTGGCGTGACAAGTCTGCATAGTCGGAAAGCCAGTCTCATCTATGAAAAACCCTGATATTATTCTATGGTCTCGTTGAGGTTCCAAAGTTAAGGCTATATATCAGATGGCAGGGATTCCGGTGACAAATTAGACTAGGATAATGATGTTCCCACCAGCCGATCAGAATTTTTAGTTTTTGTCATGTGCTCATTAGTGCAAACGTAATTATGAGGGTTTTATTTTCATCAGAGTAGCAGAATTTTTGGCTTTTTGCTACATCAAGCCAAATGATCTACATCGCGTAAAAATGCTGAAATTCGCAGTCTACCAATTCCCATCGGTTGGGGCACACGTAATTGAACCCTACCGATCTATCTTCTGTCAGATTCAGAAAATAAAAAGTCCCGTTAGAGAATGATTCTTCAACTCCGCATCTAACACTTCAGTCTGGTCGATTCCACCAGAGTCCCAAAATTCTAAGGAACGTCATTACTACTTTTGGGAATGCCACATACCAAGTTTTAAATTTGTAAAATTTACAATTGTTTCCTCACTCAAAAGTATATATTGGCTTTGGAATATTCACTTCAAATGCAACGCAAAATAAGTATGTGCAAACCTGGTAACATTGAACGAAAACATGACGAAAATACATATAGTCCATGATATCCTGTCACTTCATTCTCGTCCACTTCTCATCAAAACAAACTTCCATTTTTTATTATCGTCAGTGGGATGGAAATCGGAATTTTTGCCAAAGGTATTTTCGTTGACGAAAACATTGGGCCGGGATGAAGGAAACACTAAAACATAAATTCATTAAGGACTCTACCATAGAGGAAAGCTCTCCATTGTCAATGTTGCAACCCAAGGCGGTGATATTGCATTTCCCACAAACAAAAAGAATGGCTTCATTCATCAATTATATCACTGGCATCTCATGTGAAACTTGCGCGGTAGGAACAAGAGGGAAGGAAGCCGAATAAAATCTTTCATTTCCCAAATAAAAGAACCAAGAGAAGGGAGAGCACTGAACCAACACTTTCCCAATGAGCAATGAGAATATTATCAAATCCGATGGTATGGCCATGCCAAATACCACAAAGCAGGAAGCTTTCATGAAAAAAACATAAATAAGTAAAAGAGCACTGGCATATACTCAAGGAGCATCATGATACCAAGGCCACAGCAATAAAATGAACTGCATCTATTGCCCAGGCAAGGAACAATCAGGTCTTGATCTAAGCATATCACAAAGTGGTCTACACCAGACCTCATCGTCCATTGAATCAGCCACAATGAAACCACAACACGCGTAACAATGGATTACTACATGTGAGGGATTAAAGCTGTGCATCGTTGATATGATTAAATTAAGGAATGTAAAGCAGCAGATTGAAATCAGGCAGGAAATGGAATTAACATCAACAAAATAATGATAACCTCCAAGTTGAGCACACAAACAAATTGATAAATGCCTGCACCTGTCTCTTGCACAAATCAGAGCATAAGAAAAACAATGCCTAAGATGGAGGCAGTTGCATCTCTGGATTCAGTTTCAGTGCAATCAGAGCATCCAAAAGAAAATGCTTGTCCCAAGGATGAGGACATTAAATGGAATGAATCCTCCAACTGCTTCTTATACCATTGCAACAATCATCTTTCAAAGGATTCATTCAATGTTTACTTGCTGTAGGCAAAAATGATAGTGTAGCCAGAAGGAACCACATCAAAGACGATCATTTGCAACTCTCATTTAAATAGTGGTCACATCATAGAGAAGATAACACTGCCAATTGTTATCATGGCCTTTACACAATACTAGACTAATGGTGGATTAGTTTTATGCAACTGCATGTGTAGCCAACCTCAGCAGATGGAGGAACTTTCAGTCAACATCAATGTGCAAGGTTAACATGCACTGCATCTGTTTAAACACAATGGTAATAAGGTGATATGATTGCAGGTCTGACAAAAAGGCAAAATGAAATTTTTACAGGACAATAAATCAATAATTAACCTTTTTTTTTTAAAACAAACATAAGAATGATAACTGAAGAATATTCAATCTTCTATCCTAAAGCAGGCAAATTCAGAAAAATATCAAAATAGCATATTCACCCTTTTAGTCAGATTAAAAATAGTATGGAGGCTAAAAGAACCATTATGATGACTGTAGTTACTGTTGAAACTTCACTCTCTGCACTCAGAAGCATCCCAGAAATAGTGTTACTGAGGCAATAATGGTTTACAACAGCAACCATGTCATTGTAAGACAAGTATGACCATCAGGAAAAAAAAACTGCAATAAATTGTATAAAAATCCATAATTTTCCTATTACAGTCAAAAAGGAAACAAAAGCCACATTTTTTAGCAAATTTAATTGTCCCCTTTCCAATGTAGAATTCAAATGAGAAATTTCCTTTCGATTTTCACCACTCCATGCAATTTCTTTTTCCGAAAGCTTATTGAAAAGTAAACAAGCTAACATATTTGGGGGAAAAAAGCCTAAGAATTTCATTGCACCTATAAAATCCCTCAGAATGCAATCCAAAAAGACCATGCCATTGTCCAGTAAATTTGAACACATGAAAGTATAAAAAATCACTGATTCACCAGGAACTTGAACCTATTCACAGGTTCACTCATAATAATATGGTACAATATTTTTTATGTTCTCTACAAAGCTGCCACCATTGTTACAGTTCTGATAAAGTCAGAAAGATGATGTTTCCAACTTCTTGCTCTGCTTCAATCTAAAAAGTCAAAGAGATACACTCATGGTATTCATGAGACTTGACTCATTTTGTCAAACTAGCACAGATGGACAAATTACTTGACAGGAAATATGAATGGGAATTCTTGTCTTGGGAAGTTTCTTCTTAGAAATTATTTTTTCCCCTCTGTTTCCTGTTCAATGCTTCTCAATTAATTTTGCTCTCTCATCAAGTCCGTTTTTTTTCACTCCTGGTTGTACTGATCTCAACTTACAGAAATGAAAACATGGGCTCATGTCAATGCATACCATGACAACCCAAGTTAAGTTTTATGTGCTAAGGCATTTGCTTCACACATTCAAGTGAAAACTTTAACATCCACAGTGACTCCAATTTCCAAAATGGATACAGAAACATGGAACCCAATACCCTGTGCATCTGGCTTAAAAGCTAATTCATAGAGTCCCAAAGTCCTATCCACCTCAAAAGAGAGGGGGGATAAAAAGATGTAAAGCTAGGTATCCACCACCCCAGACTAGGAAAGCCATTGGGGAAAAAGGATGAGAGATGATGATATGGGAAGCACTGAGGCATGGGATAAAGATGCAACTGTAGGCATAAGGAACCTCCAATCATGAGCCAAATGCTTCTGTTTCCTCTCCAATCGTCTTGAATGTGAAGGATCCACGGCCATCCATATGAAGATAGAACTGGAACACACAGTCAGACAGGGTCAGAAATGATGTGAATATATTGCCTCATATTCAAGTAATCCTACTGTATTTCACATAGAAAAGTATGTCCCAGAATCCCTGTCACATTTTTCTTTTTCCTTATTTTCTTAGCAAGGTAGTTAAGGTACAGGGTAAAGGGAATCATCATAACAAAAACAGCAGACAGCATTCAGATCACCCACTTAAAAGAAAAATAATATACTATCAGTGTAAATAAACCAGTTGGGAAACACCTTCACTAAGATGGAAAAAAATATATAAATAAAAGTATGACAGGAACTTTGAGACACCTTGAATATTCATGAAGTGTCTGAAAGTTGCCTGCCAATTCTACAAAGCAGATGGAGTCTTTCAGCTTTGAGTTAAAATTTGACTTTTCTCATTGAAGTACAATTTTTGGCTATCTTAATTTCTCTTTAATCTTTTCAGGTGATTTGTACTTGGTTATTCTTTAGAACGGTGGTGTCAAACTGGCAGCCCATAGGCTGGATCTGGCCCACCATTCCATTCCGTCCAGCCTGCGAAGTCCTCTTCAACAGTAGGCTTCAGAAAATTGCTGAAAATGTCAACTTTCTCACATTAAAAATGCAGTGTGAGATTAGTTTGTGTGTCCCCCAACCACCCCTGGAGTTTGTGTGTCCCCCAACCACCCCTGCACCAACCAATCCAGCCCTTCACCAAATCAAGTTTGACACCCCTGCTTTAGAAACATCTGAAGTAGCTAACAACTTAGTTCAAGAGGGAGCTGAAGTGGGGATTTTGACTAAGAGGTGATGAAGCTGTGACATGCTGCAAAACTCAAAAGCAGTGAATATGCAGAAGCAGTAGCTGCATACTTATGAGGAATACACTCGCTGTTGGCAACAAGGTTATCAAGAGAGAGGGGAAGTGCAAGAGTGGGCAGAAAGTACCAGAGATGAAAAGTGAGAGCATCAATTAGGGATAAAGTTAACAATAAGCAGTTAATCCTCAAACAAGCCATCTCAAGGTAAAGTGGCAATCATCAATAAACAGAAACAGTTTGAGAGTCACTGTATTAAGATCTCAAAACTTTGTAGCAACACCTGAAGTTTGAGTGCCCAGCCTCTTTGATTATTCATAACCTTCTGTCATCTCCTTTATGCATTTTTGACAAGGGCATATTCCTCACAAATGTGCACCAGAGGCTAGTCAAGACATATCATGAAGCCTTGCAGAGTCAAAACTCCATTTGATGAGTGATAGATATAAGGTAATTCTAAGTTACCTTAGAAGACCTAAAAAATTTAAAATAAAGAATGAAACACAACCCAATGAGTAGTTCATAGACCTTAACCCATAAGAAAGTATGGCTATGAATTGGCAGGAAACTAGTAGTAACTTTTTGAAAGCACCTTGAAAATATTTTTGCAGAAAAGCAGAATCAAATGAATGAATCATGTGAATGATAATTAAAAATGTACTCATGAAGAAATAATACAAGCAGAAAGTGTGATTTTATTAATAGAATAATATGGGAGGAAAGGTAAGGTATTATAGAATGTATAGCAGAACAGTACTTTCGTTTCCCCACTAATGCTAATCAGAATAAAAGGGGAATAATATTAAATGAATGAAATTATAATGCAGAAACTGATAACAAGAAATTATGCAGGAAGCAAACAAAAATATTTCATAAATGAATCCTACAAGACAATCAGGCTAGCTGGTACAAAAGTGAACTTGATGATGAGAATGTCACAATATGAAATGGCTTACATCATGGTGCTTCCAAAGACTCTTGCGATGAGAGACAGTGAAGAGGGTGATCCCTGTCTGTCGGCAATAGCGGTATATGGCATCTTCTACATCCACGCTCACAGCACTTGTGCACTCATCCAAGATTGCAAATTGGGGTTTATGGTAGAACAGCCGTGCCATCTGAAATCCATACATATTCAAACCCAATCTCAAAGCACAATTACAGGTCTAACAAATGCATTGAACTCAAATGACTGTAACTAAAGCCATTATTATCACAAAAATTATGAAACTTCAAATAACAATTCCTCAGATACCTTCATGCCTTCATATTCAGAAAATCACAGGAATCACTCCATATTTTGTACAGTGTTTTTCACTAGTTAGACAATTTTTCACTTGATCGAGACACTGATGCATGGGGTATTCAGAGAGGAGGCGAGGGCACTGGTGCCCCTGATGACTAGCAGCATCTTTCTCTCCAAATATTTAGGCTTTTTCATATGTATCCAACTATGTACTAGAACTATGAACCGCAAGCACCACGTTGTCAATGGGAGACCTTCCATGCAGTCTATTTAAATAAAAAAGGCCCTAAGTTTTCAAATTCCTGTTGGCTCAATGTAGAAACACTGGACCAGACTTTGATGGACAATCCCAGATCCACATTAGATAGGTCTAATCTAGCCAACATGAGTTTGGCACGGGGAAGGATACTTCAGAATCCAGGAACGATGTCCAAAACTTCACCTGTTCTATTGAAATATTCTTAAGGAAAGCAGTAATGGGTGACATGGAAGTCTAGTTTTTCACAAAGACATAAAATGATCATTTCTATAAATTGTGTACTTGGGAGGGTTCATATAGATTTTCCTCTCTTCAGCTGGAAATGAATCATCATCATTGTCGCCATTGTCATCATGACATCTACAGTTAAGAATGGAACTCCTGGTTTCTGCATCGATCCATTATATCACCCTTACCATGTACCACTGTTGAAGTCAAGTGAAAAACCTCCAGCCTGCCCTTTCCAGAATGTAAGGGGCATCTCTCCATTTAAAACTCTTAAAACATGCTTCTCAAGTGAATTCCCTTGGAAAGGAAAAATCCTGCCCTGTTTTATGAGACTGCCAATTGCTGTTCCTGCCTACCAGTGAGCAAACAAGATAGGGGAGCTCTTCTGTCCCTTCTAATTTTCTTCTTTTTTCTTAGCAAAACCAGGAAATTTGTCTATGTCTATTTTAGAGGGCCAAATTTAGTCTTGCCCATCTCACACTGAGATGGGTAAGACTAAATATTTTGACAGAGAGATTGGGACCATAGGTATAAAAGAAGTCATCAGAGTAAGTATGAATGAATGTAGGATGCACAGGAACATGGGAGACTTTTTGCAACATATCCCTCTCCAGGCATATCTTCTCAGCTTAATATTGGTAGCAATGAAGGGATCATCCCTCATCATACCCAAGGAAACAACTCAGAAGGAATACCACTGCAAGAAAAATGCATCCTGAAAACAGAAGGGTAACAATAGCATTAAAAACACATTTACTGCATCATAATTGATGTAGTACATGTGTTTCTAAAGCTATTCTTTGTAGACAGTATGGATTCTAAGTGAATCATATAATCTGAGTGTCAGGCAAGAACTCTAACATGGAAAATACCAAATAGCACATGAAAAGAGCCTTGGGCAACATGCAAAATGGAAAGATTTTTAGCTTCTGTACTAATGTAACAAGAATTCATTTCAAAGTAACTCACTATAGGTAGTCAAAGGTCAAGAAAGATATACTGTCACCACAATATAGGAGCTGATTCCTGGAGTGGCATTTTGTAGCAGAGAGAAGAGAACTTCTTCTAAAATGACAGAAAAATTGAATCAGAAGGATTTTTTGTCAGAACTTATTTTTTGTTTCTTTAGTTCCTTGGCCAATTGGAACACCCAATATGAAACTGAAGGGAAAAAGAGAAGTGGACTAACAGCAACACGTTGCTTTTCTCCACCACTAAGGACATCCATCCAGTCAGCCATAGCATCCCATCCACCTTCTCGGTCAAGGATGTATGTTAGCTGGACCATCCCCAGATAGGTGGTGAGATCCTCATCACTCAGACCCTTAGCAGCCATGTCTTCCTTCCCATCCGGATAGATCACCTGGTCTCTGAGGGAACCCAGGGTCATATACGGTCGTTGGGGGATGTAGAACAGTTTCTCAGCTTTCGGCTTGGTCAGCACACCACCAAACAATGGCCACAGCTAAGAAAATCAGAAACAAAACCCCTTAAAGGGTAACACTGTCTTCAATGGAAGAAAGAGAAACATTCAGTAAGAGGTGGGGGGGATTACTTGACCATTGACTTAAAACAGCAGCCAAAAAAATTATTGGAAGGAATCCTTCAACATGGTGGGATAACTAGTTTTGAATAACAATTGTTGTGGTGTTCATGTTCATTATTCCATGAATCTATTTTAAAATTTTCTGAGAACTCAAAACCAATCCATGAGGAGTAGGATTTATTCACCAAACTCCTATAAAACCCATTATAAGTAACTTTTTTTGCTGGCTAACAATTCCAGAAGTCACTACTTATTTTCATGACAAAATTAAAACCAAGAGATTTCCTATAAATAATGAGTGCTGTCAGAACAGAATTTTCATCATGAGAATCATGCCTGAAATGCAAATCCAAAATTACATTAGTTCATGAAAGTCTGCAATTTTGCCTGAAAACTAGAGATCCTCCATCAGGATAATAATTTTAAAAATTCAATAATACTTGAACAAAGTAACTTAGGAAAAGTCTGAGCTGACATTGTATGTACATATGACAAAAGTTAGTGAATAAAACTGTCAGCTTTTTTTCATCAGCTTACATTGCTAACAAACTGTTAGCATAAATAGAGAGATTCAGAGCACTATTCAGATTCACTACCAACACTAGTGTCACTGCTGATACTTGGGTGGTTCTGTACTCCCATGATACCATGCCAAAATTTTTTTTTAATTTCATGGAATATTCACATGCAAAATTAACACTGTATGTGTGAGCACAATTTAGTGAATCTCTGTGAATGTTGCAGAAAATGGCAGAAATTTTATAGAAGTGTGCCCAAACATGTGGGCTCAAAACCTTGAAGATAGAAATGGAATATTGCAGGACCATTATTTGGGACTCAAAATAAAACGTAGCAGTAAAAATAAAAAGCAAAAAAAAATCTGAAAACTCACATTTTTACCCTTCAACTAGTCCCCCTACCCCCTTAGGCAATCACTGACAGCTTCCTTCTCTACCACTCTATCCTTTCACAACAAAGGTAACTCTGGCATCTACACCTATACCTATGTCACTCAATAGGCCTCCTGATTGGGAAATATTAGAGAAGAGATCCTGGAGTATTTAAAGAAAAAGGTCAGCCTTAATCCAATAAAAATAAATCTTTTAAAAAATGCAAGGAGGAAATAGCAGAATTTCAGCACAACTGTTAAGGCATAACATGAATGACTCACCTCGCCAAGAATGCGGAAGAGAGAGCTCTTGCCACATCCATTGGGCCCACAAACAAGTACATTGGTTCCTGATCGAACTTCAAAGCTCAATTCCTCAACCAGAATATCTCCATTTGGTGTGACCAGAGGTACATGCTCAAAGCGAATGACATTGTCAGCAAGGATCACACGCCCAGTGCGAACACGGTTATCTCGCTGGTCCACCATGGTGCGTTCATAGTGTCCACTGTGGAGGTCACTAAGGACATCTGTGAGCTGGGTCACACGTGCCGTGTAACCTGACAAACGGGTCAGTTCCCGTCCAGCAAGCACCAGTCGACCAATTGCCTCAGCCAGCTTCACCATCATCCGACCAGAGCTGTAATATTGCTGCACATATGCCAGAATCAGAATCACATCATTCAATTCATACATTTTCTCTCTTCTTGAGCAAATCCCTGAGTACTTGCACAGAGCATGTTCTCACAAAAATACCTTCCTAAAGAGGAAAAGTTACCAGAAGTGCTTCACAAAAAATGGACAGCTAAGTCAGTTGGGCAATTTTCATTTTAAAAAAAGTGAAATACAAGTTTTCATGCACACAACACAACCCTGTCAGCCCTAAATTATGTTCTAGGCAAGTAAAAATGTCTTTACTTTTTGGGCTTCAAGAAGGCTTATGTAATATGAAAGTGCTTTTAAAATGGTTTTCCCAAGTAAAAGTAAATATTTATTTCAATTATTTAAAGAAATTAAAATCATGTTATTTAATTAGTTCAACTAATACCCTTACCCCTATGTTATGTCATATGTTTCCTAGTATTTCTATACTACTTTTCATTATCTTGCTTGCATAAACAGAAAAAATTGGCTAAGAAATGTCTTAGCTGAAATAATATAAATGATGACACCATTTTTGAAGTGCCAGAGTGCAGCAGCTTCATACCAGGTGGTCCAAAAAAAAGTCCCAAATTTTGTGCGTCTGCAGACTGGACACCATGCTAAGCATTGCCTTGAAATTTTCAGTGTGTCATACCCAATATGGTTTCAGGAAAACATGGTGGTTTCATGAAATGCCTTGCTCTGAACATGAGTAATAGCTCTTTCCATACAAGTTGTCAAATGAGCAAGTGTGTCAAGGCATTCGCCGGCATGCTGCCTCAGCGTGCAATTGTCAGGGGACCCATCAAACAGTTCTTTAATTGAGGTCAGGTGCATTTCTTTGCACACATGCTCTTTTGACATCATGCAGGAGAAAAATTGTTACTCACATAGTTTACAACCAATTTCAATGAATTTTTTGTTACAGTATCTGTAAACATTGCATGTAAAAGCCTGTAAATTTCCTGTTGATAACTCATGTGGTACACCATCTGCAGGCATGTAAAGTTCTGGCCTTCTTTGGGCCACCCAGTATTCCTGTGGACTGCCGTCACCTTGAATGTGTGGTAGACTACTATAAACAGGGACTCAGAATCCTGCCATGACCTCAAGATAGTCCATTCCAATGTAGCCCTATAACATATGCAAAGAAAATTTGGGGCTTCTGAGTCCCACCAGGACTGAAAGGGTTAAGCCACTGGCTTATAATTAATTGGAAAATATATATATATATGAAAATTAGTGCTATTATTGCAAAATAAATAATACAAGACAACTGCATGAAAAGTGAACAAAAAAATCATAAGGCCATCCATCTTATCTATGGTCTCAAGGAATTTAACCTGGAAACCAGCAACACTTTGCCCAACAAGCCCAGGTATAGAAGATGCACATGTCACACAAAAGATTGGTGTCTATAAGATCCCATTTTGGCTTTATTTTTCATGGAAAGCTGAAAATAGGCACTGGTTGATAAAATCAGGCATGTGTGTTGTGAAGCAAAAGTGACTTCCTCAGCCAATTTTCCTTTTATAATACATGACTTTTTAAATTATTATTTTAAATGAGGATTTCAGTCTGAAAATTTGTAAGAGCAAATTTATAGGCCTGATTCAATTTGGCAACAATATGAAAAGACTACAGCAAATCTCTGAGTTTGAACTGGATTATAAGTTGCACCCAAGGGCAATGCAATTTCTTGAAATTTTTTACAATTCAGTGAGTGCCGGGTCTCTGGCATAAATTTGTTAATTTATCATGGCAATGAAAACAAAAAAGAAGTAAGTCAAGCTTAGTGTTGAGCAAGAACTTCTAATGCTGTCCAAAAGGATCAAGAAAAATAATTAATTTCATAAGATGTGTAATGAGAGGAAAACTTTCTGAATGCCTCAGGGATAGAGGAAGCAAGAAGCTTTACGGATGAACCAAATGTAATTTTCTTCTTCTCTCCTTCCAAAGCAATTTCATTATTGTTCCTTTGTTGAGTATTTGAGTTGAGTATTTAACATAGAAAGCTATGCTGCCAACTTACTTAAGTGCTTCATGGACTGATTGATTAGGATGCACAAATTACCATGATGGATTCTTAACATTCTAACCGACCATGATCAATATTTTCAAGTGTTTGATGAATGTCAGGAAGTTGGGATGTATGCATCAGACTAATCTATGCTAAGCAACCCAATTAACTGAAAATCAAATTGTAAAAAATTGATAATACTGCCTTTGGAAATTTTGTTTTTAGTGACATTAGTTTACTGATTGCAATCTGCCATCCTGTCAAAGTGCTACTTTACCTTCACTGTGGAAATGAACTCAACATACTTTTTTCCTTTCATTTCACAGATGGAGATCATTATTACCATGCTGTAGAACCAGAATCTCACATGGGGCCAATATCAACTTTAACAGACACCCATCCTTTGCTGAAGCAGACATTGGTGGTTGAGGACAAAGTGCAAAAATCACTTCAGGAGATATGAATTGAAAGGGGAAGCCAATACAAAAAGTTGGTCTGAAGAGGAACCAAAGAAAGCCATTACACAAGACTTACCTCTAGTCTTTGCGAAGCAGAAGAGGAAGTGACAGAAGCCTGCCAGAGAAATGGGATACTCACTGACATGTAACCAACCATTGTTCCAAAGTCTACCCATTTGGGAAGAAAATAATATGAATTCATTACTATGTCAATAACTAACATCTAGCCTCAGTCAGACATGACTACTCTCCTTTGAGAAGGACTCACATTTCCCAAGGATGTTGTCAGTGAAGCCCATGCTGAATTTGAAGTTAATGAAGTCTTGCATGTGTTTGGCCTAAGGCATAAAACATTCATTTCGTTAAAACTTTGTCTATGGCATCTCAACACCAGGAAGAGCACAACATATAATATTCAGTCACCTCAGAGATAGTTGATTTAATTTATAGGCATCCAGCCTCTGATCTGCTAATGTATAGATAGACACCATAATGTTTTGGTTGAAGTTCAAAGAGAAGTAAAGTTGGCATCAAGGAACTTAATAATCACAGACAAGTCAACACACTAGTACTCAGCTTATCTCCAAAAAAGAGAATAGAATTCATGGTTTCTGTTAGAACTGTTGGTTTAACATAAGGCTTTAGAATAAAGGCAATTACTGATATTTTCTGATATACAGGGATATTTTACATACTGTGTAGATACACATAGAATGCTTTTGGGAGGAGGTGCTCATTTTCATTCTTGGATTATCACATTCTTGCATACATTTTTGAAAACTAGTGCTGGGTGCATGGGAAAAGACATACAAGTGAATTGAGGGCCTGGTTGATGGAATTGCGTTCACAGGGGCCCCCACGATAGAAAGCAACCTCCTCTGAATGCGTTATGAGCCGAGAGTTGACAAATCTCAAGTGTCCCTCCAGTTGTTGCTCCTTCATTGTCAGCCTGGCAGCCGGACGGCGCAAACGGGTCAGTACAAACCCAGCAAACACCAGGTACACACTCATCAGGCTTGGCACCTGGAAATTCACACCAACATCCATAATAAGCTTGGCTCATATCAGTATGCCCTGAGAGGTACACTGCTTAAAACCGATCTCTATCTTAGTTTTGTCTGTTAGTCAAAAATTCCCTGAAAATGAAACCTCCAGTTCACATTTATGCCAAAAGTAACAACAATTGTTTCTATTGGCTCATGTAATTAGTCTTAGTACATGTATACATATACAGACAAATTATACAGAACCTTAGTCCACAAACAATATCATCACACCTTTATCATACAAGAAATTCAACCAAAATGCATACTAGTTCTAAATAGAGTTGTCAGGATGGAATTTGTTGAAAAATATAAATGCATCAACCTGAACCATCAAGGATGCACCAATGCATTGGCAAAATATGGAATGATTAACAGTGAGAATGGGATACTCTGACAATTATTTCAAACTGTGTTTAGACCCACCCTTCTAACCTGTTCCCTCTCCAGAGTGGCTTCCATTGTACAATCTCATTTCCCTTCTCCATCCATTGTGCTTTTCCCTTAATTAGTAAGGTCTCATCATCACTTACACACCTGCAGATTTTGATTTTGGCACTTCCTTTTAGTCTGCCAAAGCATTGTGATGCCTGAGAAAACTATCAATGCTTCCAACCATTAATGCATTGATGCATCATGAGAGTCCTACTTCTACTGAACTATTGACAAGAAAAATCAGAGCTTACTGAAAATCCCAGCGTGGATGTGAGCCGGTAGACATAGATGAAGATGTCTAAGACAGGCTTGCTAAGATTGGAGTAGAGGTCAACCAAACTGTCAGAGAACTTCTGCACATCCTCTGTCAACAGCTGGTCTGCATTTGCAATGCGTGAATCCAGATTAGCCATCTTGTAATAAGTGAACTCAGTCAAGTACAGGTCGTACAGGTACTTTGAGATCCTTAGACGGAAGAGCAGCTTCAGTTCATCCAGGCCCATCTGAGAACCATGAAAAATAGAAAATCCTCTAATCAAAATTTGAGCTGCTACATTCATTAACATTGCAAAATATTCCAAAAATCCAATGCTTGGGAAATCAATGCCTGACAATTATTTTCACCAATTTGATACCAACAAGCCAAACCGACAAAATAGTCATACATTGGTTTCCTGTACTCCTTTCTTCTCAAATGCCAACTTCTACATAGGGCTAAACCTTTTGCATTCAAACACTACATTGTAAGCAGATTCAATTCAAATAAAGAATTCACAAATTCTTGCTTCCAAGTGCACCTCAACATTACCAACTGCAATTACGGTGCTCTTAATTTACTTAAGGATACCAATCCTGCTACATGGACCCAGCGCATCATCATATTCCAGCTCTTTATTTCTCATTATAACCACTCCAAATACAATAACATTAACTTAAGGCCATTATGAGGAACAACAATGTACAAAAAAACTAGGGTGTGAAATACCCACCTTGAGGAGATTATTGACCATGGCTATAATGGGCATAGAGATGAGATACTCCCGAATGTGTCTGATGAATCCTGGGATATCCCGCCCAATGATGGTGCTCTCAATAAGGGTGCCATTGCGTATGAGCCACAGATCACAGCCAGACCGTAGCACAAGGATAAAAGCAACCAGAAAGAGGAATCCTGTCTCCCGAGTGAAGAAACCTGGGACAGCCACCTTGAGGAGCTTTTGCACACGGCGGAAGAAGACACCATCCACAGCTGCTGTACTCTTCTTCTTTGCATCCTGAGAATTGGGAATCCACTTAAGCTCTATGGTTTGTCCACAACCGTTTCAGCTGCACTGAAGGTGCCTATTATATTTTCACTCAGCTGTGAAGAAACCATTCACAAAGTCTTTGCAATTGTTGCAATACCAAACATACCCTCTACCACCTTGACATACAAGAAGCCTTAAGTATGGTCACCTTTGACTTTATCCTCATCATTTTATACTAACAGGTTCTGAGATACCTTAGATAGTGAGATAAAAGAGCTCACTCTTCTCTTACTTCTGCCTCTACTTCACTGCTCACCTTCCACCTTCAATTGAAATTATATTTAAAATGTCATACAGGGAAGTCATTGGAAACCTAGAGAGATGTCCATGACTTCAAATGCAAAAATATATACACTTTGACACATGATTTGCTGATGATACATTGACAAATACTTCTACCACTTCGTCTATGTTAGACATATATATGTAACCAGTTCATTATTCTCGAGTCAAATTTTCAAGTAGTGACATCATGAACTGGTGGTTATGCAAAGGACAGAAATTGTCTCATGTTGCCTGGCTGGTTATTACAGACCCTTCATTTAGGCAGTTCATTGGTATGCTGTCCTGTGATCAAATTTAAGAATTAAAACTGTCAGCAAAAAGAAAAACAAGCATGTGATATAGTAAATTGTGCTTAGCTTACAAAATAAATATTTTCATTGGTCAGGAGACTGGTTCTGGCATCCTGCTGACCATTCCTGCAGGCAATTGACATATTTAGCAAGTAATTGCTTTGTGATACTATAGTCTGACCCAAATGCAAATGACAATAACCCAACTGTACAAGGTAATGGAAGATATTTCAACTAAAATACAGATAACAGTATAAATGCATACATTTTAAATACTCTATCTTCTGTGTATGTCTGATAATCACCTATGGGTGACCATCTCAAAACAGACTCATTCAGAATGCATTGCTTTATAACAAAGTTTGGGTCAACTATCTGTTCCAAATATAGAAGAAAGAACTAGGTATCATTGGTGAAATTAGAAAGCACCCAGCAAAACTCACTTCATGGATGACAAATGTCCCCTTTTCCTTGTTCCTAGCCCTGAAAAAAATAAGCCATAAAAGCATACAAGCATTTCAATGACTCAACCCATGTGAAGCAATTAATGGCCTGGAGGTTTTGTACCTCAGGTCTAGGACTAGGTCTAGGACTAGTCTACCTAGGACAAAAGGCCTAGACCTATGAATAAGTCAACCACTTCACATTACCAACTACAAATAAGTTAGCATGAATGACAACCCCAAATTCAACATAACTCATCCAGTGTAGCATTCACTTCCTCTCTCCTCTCTCTCTCTTACTCGCCATTTCTGGCTTGCAAGAGGCATGCTTTTAGCTTATATATCCCTTTTACTGCTCATAGAAAAACCTAAGCCTGTACAAGCTTCAAAAAACCCTAAGGTCAGTCCTCCCCCACTGCTCTCATATCTTGATATATGTTCCCTAGTAAAACATATCAGTCTAAGTCTAATATTTAGTTGATTATGCTTTTCTTGCTATTCTGAGGTAATTAAAATGGCATGAACACCATCTCTGCCTGTACATGTCAAACTTATGGTTAATTCAGAATGACTGTAAACACTATGAGTGTGTCTTACTGCTTTTGACTTACGGAAAATAATGACATTAGCTGCTATTAAGCTTTATTTAAGTAAAAATCTTAAGTTTTTAAATATGGACAAAACAGTGTCCATATTATTACCAGTTCGCAGTACGAACATTGCATTTGAAATATGTACTGTCCATACTAATTATGAACGGGTGGCAACCCTATATCCCTATACCCAAGTTTCCATTGTAACATAGAATAAATTTTTGAAAAGTTTGAAGTCACATGCGTGTGTCAAGTAATAAGGATTGTCATTTCATAAGTACTACGACATTCCGGATTCATTGCACTCACCTCCAGTCCCAATATAATAAGATAAAATACTTGAAACTAACTTAAATGAGAGGCCTGCTTTTGCACGAGATAGGCAGGACAGAGGGTTAATTAATTTATTGATATTTAAGGCCCATGACCTTGGATACGAATGGATATTAGGAAATTAAAAGAACAAACATACCTAATTCTCTGGATGTTGTGAAGAGTGAAAAGGAACCAATAAGACGAAACAGATGCAGAGACAGCGACCGCACAAGTCTGGGGAGACAAGCGGCTCATCGACGGAGCCATCTTTATCTCACACGGTTGTGCGATTTGGCAATCTCATCACCACACGAGCACGATCCATTAGAAGCCGGTCATGCAACCCCGGAGCCAATGGACGAGTCTTTCTGGGGACTTGTGCTACCGCTTGGGCAGCGCTGCAGTCGCTAGGGCTTCCATGCTGCAAGGGAGCACGTACGTGCTTTAAAAACCGTGGGATAGCAAGGGGCAGGGACGAAGCCGGGGGGTGGGGGGGTTCCAGGGTGTCTGGACACCCCCGAAATGAAGCAAGATATCATGAAACAAGGAGTATGGGAGTGGGGTGTGTGAAAAGTTTCACATATACAACTGAAGTTTCGACTCCTATCCCACCTTCTGAATACAATCACTCTTAACCAATACAATGCCCTCCCCTCCCCCATTTTGCTTCCATTGCTGTACCAGTTTTTTTAGTTCCAATAGCAAACCATGTTCAGAAGTAGCTTTCACCAACTATGACTAATTCAAAGTCAGTTCTTGACCCATATATATTTTCGTGCAAAAAAATTTTTTTGGAAATTTCGGGAAGAGAAGGGGCTATTTTGAACTATGAGGTGTTTGGGATTGAAAAGGGCTTTCGAACTTTTCCTCATTCCTCCCAACCGCTCACCTTCCTCGACCACTTCGTCATCTCATGAGCCTGAAAGAGCCTCAAAAGACCCCCCCCCCCCCCCCCCAAATTATTTCCTGGCAACGTTCCTGGCAAGGGGGGGAGGGTCAAGTTTGGCTCTAAAACCCCAACTCTTGTCTAGCTGCATTCGCCACCCACCTCCCAATGGACTTGGAATATGAGCTGGATTTCGAGGGTGCGAGGTCACGAGGTATTACATGTTGAATAGCGAGTTTCTTCCGCAAAATCCGATAGCCAAATCCAAAAACCAGAATGCTACCTCTAAATACGAGGGGCACTCCAAAAGTTCTCGCTAAATGTAATTAAATATTGCCCGATCATAATGCAATTTTTTGGTATTGTTTTTCACGGATTTAGTAAGATTCAGTGATTTTTAAAAATATTTTGCCAACATTGCGACCCGTAGCGTAAGGCCAAAAGAGGTCACCCTCCAAGACAGATGACCTTGACCCATGGAGATCAGCGAATGCTGATTTGGTTTGGTTTCCAAAGGCGACTACCTGTAAAACAGTGTTTCGAAAATATGAAATCGTCTCTGGGTGATCTTGCCACCACCACACCAATTTTGAAGTTCCTTTGTCGGATTTGTGCGGCATTTCTTAGCATAAATTGACTCGAGCCATTTTTTATCCTCGGGTAGGGCCCAACAAGAACAATATTTCTTCACCCCAAGAATTTCATGAAAAATTGTTTTTTATTTATTTTTTTTTTTAAGGCAGACTCTCCTATCCCTCCACGAGGTCACCTCCATGACAGCATATGTCGCATTTCGGTCTTCTTCGATCATGGCTTTCAGTCACATTTGTTGCGTCACTTCTGAAATTGAAATACCTTTGCGGGGCTCCTCCTCCAGGCTACACCTAAACCACACCTAAACTTTCGAAACCGGTCATCCACAAAGTCCATAGATGGGGTATGATCGGCTGGTTATGATTTAATCTCTGAAAAACATTGTTTCGCAGTTAGGTGCCTCTGGAAACCATACAAAATCAGCACTTGCATATCTCTACGGGTCAAGGTCATCTGCCCTGGAGATGACTTCATTTGGTCACATGCTACGTTTCACCATTTTTGCAACAAAAAAAAAGTATTAAAAATCACTGAATCTTATTGAATCCCTGAAGAACAATACTTGAAAAAATATCATTCGGATCAGGCAATATTTATTGCCATTTGGCAATAACTTTTGAAGGACTGTATATGGCAAGAAATACACTATAGTTCCAGCCAGTGGCAAAGAAGTGAGTTTGAAAAAGTAACGAATTCATGCACTGTGCTACTGAGGGACAGAAACATCTACGTTCTGATAATAGTTTATAATTAAACAAATGCCTAACATCGCAGTTATCTTCCATGCAACGAAATTTTTGCGACAAGTTGCTACATGGATACGAAATTATTTTGGGCAAAGATACAGCTCTTGGGAGCATAGCTGTCCTTATGTTTTTGGGGTCAGTACACTGCCTAGCTAGGGATCGCAGAATATGAACAACAGGAGTGCTGACACGGAACTAGTTACGTCGATGAGCAAAAACAAAAAAAAGCGAATCATGACGACATTACAGACATTATCAAGACGACATTACAGATTGCAGAAAATTGAGAAGGCCGACCTCACATAGATTAAGATACAGAAATGCGTAGGCGTGAAAACACGTGGCCAAGGAACAAAGGAACTATATGGAAGTGCGTCGACACGATGAGTACAGGAAATCATTCGTGGAAACGCTGGCTCGAGGAATAGATGCAGAGAAATTTGAAAGAGACGAAAATCTAATTCCGTAAGTTTTCGTTTTAGACAGGTATTACTGTCGATATAGATGACGGAGGCTCATGGATCTCATTAAAACAGATTCTGGTGGGTAACAACATCAGAGCACTACTTCTGAAATTGCTGGAATCGCTGTATTTTTGTTAGAATTTAAAGTTGACTTAACCCTCTCAGTTCCCAACAACGATATATCGTTGTTCGATCCTCGCGCGAAAAGGAGGGAGGGAGGTTCTGGGCTCTAAAAGGGTTAATTGAACCCAGTAGTTGGGCAGCGAGAAGGAGGATGCGGAGAAGACATCACTTCCTCCTAAGTCCTTGCTCTCTAATCCGAGGAATGATCAGCAATGTTCGTCATTCCAACATGGCACGAAGTGCAGTTCATGGATAAGGAGAAGTGTGCGTTTTATCGTGGTACTGCCAGATCTGTTCTTCCTCATCCGTCTAGGGGCGTCGTATCATGAAACAGAAGGGAAAAAAAGCTGAAAGCATATAACTTTATAATTTTTTCATCCATTTTAGATGATAAACCGAGAGCCAAGAGACTTTCCCATTTAATATAATGACGTGCGAGATGTCATCAGTGAAATCGTAATTGGTTCCGAGTCCGATTACGCCGCGAACGAGAGAACCCTGTACCTATCCAATTTATTTTTTTGTTATATCCCTTTCTGTAATGAAATTATGAAGCAAAAACTCTGTAGATTCTTCGTTCCGCGAGATTGCAGAAAACACCATCATGAGATACCGCCGAGGAACTGAATCTGGTTTGGGTTTGAATGAAAGAAACACAGGATAATGCCCTCATGAGAGACATTATTCCATTATTCCTCTATTAAAATTACGTTTTTTATGAACGGCATTTCCGAATATTTTACCCTTCCCTTCCATACAGAACGGGAGGCTGCGACGGCAAATAATGACTAAAAACTTCATTACTTTTCTCGATATTCTGCCAGATTTTAAGTACACAGATCCAATACTCAGTTTGAAAGTTGTCATGTTGAAAGTCATCATCCGTTCGACCAAAAATGGTTCAGCGAGGAGTTTACGGTTTCCGCTGTTGGATTCCTCTAGCCATGGAAGAAGGAAACCGATTTTTATTAAAGCTTCTTTGATGGGAGCATGGAAGAATGAAGAAAAGTGGCACCGAGTGGACGCTGAAGGCTGCATCTGCGACGTTAATGCCATCACGTCGTCACAAACATCGTGTTTCATGCCATCGCGTCATCATGAACAATGATGTGATGCCATGACAGCTGTTCGGCTATACACATGTACGCATCTTTCCTCTCAGGTTTCTGCTGGAAGACCATCAATTTTGTAACATGCAAAGCTATTCCTCACCGCCAGACCCTGGAATGATTCCATTATATTCTTCCATCTTCATCCTGAGCCTAATATACAAGGTGGAGCAGAAGTTAGGGAACAAGTTTGAATACGAATAACTGTAGGTATTTGACAGAAATATGGGAATGCCTTTAAATCAAAGCTGACGGATGAAAGGCTATTTACAAAACTTGTTGGCCATCATTTCCCAAATACTCTTGCAGACGCTTCGCTTAGCCTTTGAACTTCACCAGATTGTATGGTAAAGGCGGAGACAAAAAACTAGGGGTGGTTTTTGAACAGAGAACTATGCAATATTGCAGATTTATTTTCAGGAAATATCATGTATTTTCCCTGATATAAAGCTGCATTATCAGGTAGTTCTCTGTTCAAAGATCCACCCTTGATCTTGAGAGCCTGGCAGCCATCCTGTTGAATCCATTGTTTCACAACAGAAAAGAGAATTAACTCAGCTTTAAGTCGGTGGAAGTCTCATATTTCAGTTGAATAATTAATGAGTTATTCATATTCAAACCGGTTCCCTTACTTCTGTTCCACCTTGAACGGGCCAATGGGCTGAACTCAGTGGCGGCTCGTGGTTCATGCTGTAGGGTAGGCCAGTAACGTAGCCAGGGTAGGGGGGCTGTCCTGGCTCCCACTCCCCTTTCCCCCTAGCGTACATAAGGTTTTTTTTAGACCTTCATTGGCCCTCCGAAAAATGAGACTCTCTCCACACTACTGGGTTAAACCCAGGATGGCAAGAAAATGTGACGGAAACCCGAGAAATGTTTTTTTTTTTAGCGTGCGTCTTGAACTAAGTGGAGGGCTCTGTCTGCCTAGCGTAGAGAGCGCCCTAAGCGAATCTAGTTTTCTCGGGACAAGTCGAACCTGAGCTGAGAAAGTCGTTCATTTACATGAAAGTAGTCCTGGCAATCTTCGCTGTCACTTCAACATGTTGCTTCGTCTGTTTGAGGCCTGTTACCGAATTCCCCGTTTTTCTCCTTCACCATCACTTTTTATTGAGACCTCTCGCACGTCCAGTCCTGAGCTTCTGGAGTGGCCATTGGTTCGGCTCCGGACCAATTGTCTCTGAATCGTCCCTCTTTGCACCTCCCATTTCTCAAGTTTTCGTACCAGACCTTACGTGAAGCACGAGTCTTTTTTCAAAATTTGGAGATCTGGCGTGGGCCTTCTGTTCTCGAAAATTTCTCTCCTCATTTAATCACTTCTTGAAGAAAAACTAAGTTATAAGATGTCTCCCGTTTATATCATTTTGCGTTTGCGAGGCCTATAATACGGTAAAAAATAT